GTTTCAGCCGCGTGACGCGCAGTTCGTACTAAGGCCTCTGGCCGGCTGGGGAAGGGCCGGGGAAACGCCGTACCCAGCGAGGTGCTGGCTGGGGGGAACCGTCCTCCGGGGCGGGGGTCACATACTGGAGGTTCTCGGTTTGTGTGTGGATTTGGCTTGACAGGGGGGTCGGGTTTGCTGTTTGCCTGCTTCGCTGAGGGTGGAATGCTTTACAATGGCTTAGAAATGCACCGTTGTGTAGGTTTATGCTGATTATATTGTAATTTAGAGTCGTGATTTGGTTTTATGAATGAAAGTTGAAAAAACCCCGGTTTGTACTCAGTGCTGGCTTCTGATGTGTTTTCTGGTTTCTGTTTGCAGAGTACTGTCCATGATCTGACAGTCCACCATGCAACTCCTGAGGACATTGTAAGTGTAATAGCAGTCTCTGTAGCAAGGAGATTTAGCTGGATATCTGACATAAGTATTTACCATACTTTGTGGGATATTTTCTCCCTTTTTACGCTTCTGAAAATACCCTCTCCTTAGTGTTAGTTCTTTCTTTGTGATATCACGCATCCCCAGCTCTGGTGATTGGTGGTTTTCAGTTTCCTGTTCCCCTGGGGAAGCAGTAGCCATGGTTTTTGTTTCAATAAACTGTATACTGTCATAAAAACATAAAACCATAAATGCATAAAAACTCAGTGGGTTTTGAAGTTAAGTCTCATCTCTGCTGGAAGGACTGAAAGACATGCTTTATTTTAGGAATCTCTAATTCGGAGCGTATTCATTTTCATTTAATGGCTTAACATAACTTCATTATACTGAATAACGTGTTCATTACAAAATACATAAGCTCTATTTTATTTTCCTTGGTCTCACTGATTACCAGAATGGAATAGCAGTATGAGCTGTTGTTGCGTATGAATTTTGACAGGTTAGTTAGGACAGATGGACACAATAGCAGAGAGGGGCCTGGTTCTATAAATGGTTGACTTGATAGCTTTCAGTCACTTTAGTAAGTGTTAGAAGAAGAGAGAATATTGCTGGTGACTGACAGTGTTAAATCAGGAAAATGCATTATGTCTTTTTATGCATGTTACAGGTGCTAGTGTTTGGAGTTTTTCTCCCTTTACAGCTGAGATGACTCTTGCTGAGTCAGTGATGTGGGGCAGGTGAAAACTATGAGACTGTTCTTATTCATCTTCAGACCCACTGTAAATTTCGCTGGTACTGATGACATTGTACGCTTCTGGATGCTTGTGAGGCTGTTAACGTAAAAAGTATTCAGCACATAAATGATAAAATCAGGAAGAGCTAGTTAGCACCACCCCGCGAATTCTGCTTTAGATCATCCTCTGATTTTGAAATGTTTTCTTGTTTATGTAGCTGCGTCGCCATGAAATACACAAGTCAAAAAACAAAGCACTGGCGCAGCTGGAACTACAAGAGAAAGCACTGAAAAGAAAATGGAAGAAGCAAAAAGCTGCTGATTCCTTGGAGAAAAGGAAATTGATTCTGATGCGTGAGGTGAGAGCTAAACCCACACTTTCAGCCTGCTGCAGATTATTTGCAGCAGTAGTGGAAAACTGCTCTTGCATGTAGGTCAGCATTTGCTCCTCTTGTTGCATAACTTGACTTTGTATATGCATACACACTCCCTCCTCTCTGTGCTGTGTGCATGCAGTGATTGGAATAGTCTAACTCATCTATACAGTTGTATATTTGATCCTTGTTGCCTGGCTGTGCCCTCTGTAATTTTGCAGGCCTCCTGGCATCTGAACAGGTTTGCAGAGTTAAACTGTGTTGTGAAACGTATGTGTATTCTTTGTGTTCTTATTGCTATCTTGCCTTTTCCTCCTCCTCTCTAGTATTTTTCTTTGATGGAAACATGAGTGTTTCTTTTTCTGGGAGGGACATCCTTATCTGCCATAGCTTTTATAAACAGAGAAAATGCAGAGTCGTAGGGGCTGAAAGGGTGAGGCAAGAAGCTGGTAAGGAAGAGCTTGCCTGCAGAGAAAATTGGCACAACAAAGGTTGAGGAGCTATGGCTGCTAGCAGTCAAGCTTATCATCTGGGAATTGAAAAGGTTGTTCTGAAGCATTCTGACTGAAAAGGTATTATTTTAATTGTTTTTAAATACTGAACTGTAGCAGGAAACTTAAGCTTAGCCATGAGACCGTAGATGTCCCTATCTGGAAAAAGATTTCAGTGGTAGACATCCTTTTGATTCATATGCCAGACAACTCCTTGCCATATGTTACGAAAACTAGTCTCAAAACAGGGTCGTTAGCTTTCAGACCTCATCAGCACTTGGACAAGCTGAGAATTTTCTTGTTGGTAAAAAATGATAGTGAACAGTGTTCACCTAGCAGTTCAGATAAACATGATCTGGTAGTCCTGAAATGTGCAGTGGGTTAGCCGTCACAGACCCCTTCTCTCTTTCAGTTTCCCTGCATTTTCAGAAGTCTCTTTCTGATCTCTCAGAACAGTCATAGACAGAAACAAATTAAAGTACTTGGAACTGAAGTTCACCTTCTAGTTTCCTGTTTGACAGCTGCTTCTCTGCAATCCCCGTAGAATTTTTGTGTTAAGGATATCATGCTAATCAAGCCTCAAAAGTTAATTTTTACCTTTGTTACTTTCATACTTTTCTGCCGAGTGCATTTTAGTGGAGTATTTAGAAAAGCTGTGGGCTTTTGTACAGATTTCTGTAATGCAATAGCAAGTGAGTTTCGCTAAGACTTCCGTGCAGAAATAAATGGTTTATCACAAAGGTAGGTTCAGTAGCAATCACTCTATGGTGTGGCTGTACTACCTATTATGTGATTGTAGTCATTTCACAGATGTGGAACTCATCGATGGGAAAGAGTCTACTGAAGTTGTTGCCATTTCTAATGACAATGCACAAATATCAATTCCTTCTGAGTGGCTTTCCCCTTCATACTTAAGAGATTACTTTATTCAACATACTCTGTGTCTACTTCTGAATCAGAGAAAAGATGCTTCCAGACTGGAGGACAACAGGAGATGATGCCAGGCAAGATAAAACCCTTCTGGCTGTTGCTGTTTGAAACACTGGTGTCTTTTTGAGTGAAAATTAAAACAGATGGAGGAGAGTCACCACTTTTGCCTGTCTGCAGCTTAAATCCTGTTAATTACTAGGTTAATTACTAGGTTCAGAGTAACTGGGGGGACTCTTCAGTCTGTGTCTCCCAACACAACACACCACTGTCTCCTTGTCTCTGTTACCTTGGTGATCTTTTTTCCTTTACAGCTGTGAGTGTAGCTTCCTAAGCCTTTTAAATCCTACTCAGTTGCAACAAACTCAGAGACAAAAACTAGGAAGATGCTGCTGGTAGTTTGTGTTTATTCTTGTAGGTTGAAAAGTTATGAAATGGATAAGAAAAATGTCAATATTTTGGGATTTGTCTGCCTAAAAATCTGAACGAAAAAAATAACATGAGTTTGCCTCTGTTACACTGGATTGTGAATGTGTAGGTGCCACACATCCACTGAAGGGTAGATGGTGAATGGGTTATCATGGAGGGGAGGTTTTAGCATTAGTCCAATTTAATTATCTTTAATAACAATTTTAGAGGAGGTGAATTTTAATGAAATTCACAGGTGATACTAAACTGGGACAAAGTACAGCATTTGTCAAGGGCATGTAAATGACCCCAGAGGGCTTAGAAGCAAATACCACATTGTTTTCTGCTGATCTCAAATACATGTGAGCTAAGCTACCTTGGGAACAATGTTCTGAAATGTTCATAATGTATTCACCTGGAGCTTTGGAAGTTGCTGATGCTGAAAGAGATCTAGCAGGGAGAGTGAAAAATGAATTGGGATAGTTTTTGTCTGATTAAACACACCATCTTAGTTTTAATTGCTTTGGAGAAAGAAATTATGTTTTGGGGCAGGTAAATTATTATTTTCCTGCCTTCCCTGCCATCCTTGCCTTCCTTTTCCTTCAGATATGGCATAACTTTGTCTAAAAACCTGCATTGTTTTGACGTCAGATGGTGGGATGGAAAGACTAGATTTAGTTGGTGTCAACTGTGAAAACTGAATAGTGATTGGGAAAAGCAGATCTGTGAGGTGATTGAAAGATGAATATTCACTGGTTTGCTAAATTGCTTATGAGGAGAAGTATAATGTACTGCAGTGTAATTTAGGCTCAAAAGATTAGAAAGATATGGAAACTAGGTATGTGGGGAAACTTCTTGACATAACAAAGTAAGATATGGGGGTGGGAAACAGGTGAAATTGCCACTGCCTAGAATTTTTTGAATGAGGCTGAATATAAACCAGCAAATTTATCAATGGACATTGAAATAAGCTTAGTGGAGCTTTGTTATGGTAACTTAATGGCATATAGTGCCCGAAACTGCTGCAAACAAGTCCGTCTTATGATTCCTGGGGGAGCAAGAAAGGTCACTCAGTTCTCAAAGCTTGAGTAGGAGGGCATACATGAGCCTGTCTTTTCTGCAGGATCTTCTGAAGTACTTGCATCCTCTCTGGCTTAATTGAATTAACCACAATGAAGTGGAGGTCACTCACACATCTAGTCTCTTCTCAATCATTTAAGAATAACTACCTTCTTCCCAAGTACTGGGGTGTAATTTTACTATCTTGCCATTTCCAGCTTTGTGAAGGAGACCACGAGTCAGTGAATATTGAATTATGTTCAGTTCAAACTGGGGACACATGAAGCCGTGTCCCCACTCAGCTCCATTCAGCTCACAGTAGCTAAATGCCTCTTGCTTTGCAGTTTAAGATCTCTTGTGGTGCTAGGGATGGACTTCAAATACCAGGGGAGAGAGACCTTGAATAAAGGATCTGTGCCTTGTGAGAAATGTGTGGAGATTCCCAAAACATCTTCTGATGCCAGATCTAGTCAGCTGTGTTTATGTCTTTTGAAACTTATATGGTGGTCAGTGGCTTAGTGTTTTCAGTAGGATTTTCAGTAGTCAAGGCTGAATGAAGCAAGTCTGCCTGAATTGGTTTGGGTCTTATGAAATAGTGCAGTTTTGGTTTTTCTGTGACTTGACAGCATCATTATCACATCTGATCGTTACCATGATGTAGATAAGGGTTCTTTGGCTCAGTATAATTATCTGATAATTGACTGTTAAATCATGTTATTTATATTATATAGTATAATTAAATTATTATCATTATCTGATTATTATAATCAGATAATTATCATTATCAGATCATAGAGTAGTTAGGGTTGGAAAGGAGATCTAAATAAGTGTTCTTTGACTCATTATCATTACATCTGATAATGATATGTGTAGAACACTTATTGACAACTCAGATCAAATGGTTTGAGGATACATACTGGGGTTTCTTTTAATGACCAACTATACGTCTTCATTTTGATGAGTGTGTCAAACACACTCTAGTGTTTGTGTCAAGCTGGGAGGAGGAGAGGGGAGTGAGGGGCTTAGTGAGGAAGAGTCAGCACAGATGGGAGCCCCACGAATAATAATTGTTTAATTTTTCAGAAACCCAAGCATGAAGTGTGTTTTCTGCTCTATCTTAATCAGGATCTAATTGCACAGTACCAACTTTGCACACATTGTGTTGTTGGCTGTTCTCTTGCTAGCTGTTAAGAACAATACCAAAAAAAAAAACCAAAGGAAAAATAGGTCTGCTCAGTATGGACTATTTCCTTATATGCTATACTTTCAGATTCTGTCTGATCAGTACCATTTGCAAGATGTATTGGAACGAACTGATCAGGTTATGGCTGTGGCGAAAGACTTGGTTGGGGACGCTCCTCGCACACGAACAGGTAAACAATCTCATTTGTATGTGGTAGCACATTTAAGACTATCTCCTTGCTTTTCCTAAATAGTCTCACTTTGCAAAGCTTTCTTTTTAACTGTTTTCATCTCATCATCTAACATAGTAAATCTGATCTTGTTCATGTTGAACGAAGCACAGATAACACCTCCCATAGCAGGGGAGAGCGACCCATGGCTGGTTATGCTGCTGTAAAACAGAACTTTGGATCGCTTTTTGAATTTCAGATCATTTCATGTTAAACACCTCATGCTTACTGTTTGCCACAGCCAAGCTACTGGCCTGTACAAAGCACCAGTCTGAGCCACTGTAGTAGTTCTGATTCTCATTACCACATCGGTTGGCTGCTTGGATACTATGGAAAGTTCGTCAGCAATTTCTGAACGAGGCTTTTCATTTTCTTATCTTGGTTTGTGGGTCCTTATGCTGCTGGAGGACAGGATTGTCTGTTTTCACGTGAAATACTAAACATAGGTTCTTTTCTCTGCAGGCTGACATTGCCTATTGCTTATAATCACTGTTTCATCCTACATGCTGCTTCTGCACAAGTGTATTCACATAGGTGAGAAGGACAAAAGCCTGCTACGTGGCCAAATGTTTTAAGATAACAATATAGTTGGCCTTTGGCAGTTGTTTAAAGCATTGTACATCCCTGTGACCCTTTTCGTGCAAACTATGGGAACTTGCGTTTTGGTACAAAGTCTTGTGACATACTACAGACCGAGTCCTCTCTGTTCTTCCCTGTTTTGTCTAATTCATCTAGGTATCCCTAATGTGACAATGGCTCCTAACTGTGACCTAGAATCATCTCAAGGACCCATTGTACAAAAATGTGATGCTCCCACACAGCTTTCCATCCTTAACGAATCTGTCATGCGTTCCCAGGTAATGTATGTCCTGTTCTGTGCACATCCTGTGGCTTTTTTGTTTGCACAAAGGAAGAATATTCAAAGATAGAGTTTCCAAGCAGAAACCTGTCTAGTGTGTGTTGTAGATTATGTTGATAACATATGTAGAAAATTGTGTTAAATGGAGCTGAGTTTGTTTTGTGAGACTCTGGGAATCATGATTTTTGATTTCTTAAACTTTGAATATGAGCAACAAACATGGTGTAGCTCTCATGTTTGCAAGCTCTTCCTTTGAAATCCTGGAATTAGCAGCATGAGAACAAATTACAGACTAAGAAAACAACTCTTCTGTCACTTAACTAATTGCTACATGCTGAAATACATGTATATTTCAATATTTAATATATATTTTATATATACATATAAATAGTATATTTAATATATGAAACATACCTCTGGTTTTCTAATTATGTCTGCATATATGAGGACATAGTCATTTGGGCTCCAATTTGTTTCTGGTAACACATGTATGTGTACTCCAGTTATCTCTACTGCCTTGCTTAGTCCTACAAGTTGAAGTTTTCATACTTCACAGTATTTAACAATTATTTAGATCTGTTTAAAAAGTTCTAAAGTTGTTAAATTTGTTTAAAATTCCATTTAGATAGACCTTGTGTTCTATTTTCTTTTCATAATGTGAGTTGTACCAAGAATGCTCATTGTGGCTTCAGAACAGGCATATGGCACTCCCAGAAAACAGCTCACTGATGAAGGCAAAAAGGGCTATGGGAGCAAAAGTGATGGTGTCTTATTCTCATGGTTCTCTAATCCTGTTTCCTACTATCTTGCACAAATATCTGCAATTGGAATTGCAGTACTTCTCTGTTGTGTATTTCAGTGTGGTATTTGGTTTTGTGGTTTTTTTTAATATGAAGAATTAAGTGTAGCATCTTTTGTGAGCTGTGTTGCTGGATGCATGCTCCAGGATAGGCTTACATTGTTTAAAAGAAACACATACTGATAGTTGTCTGCTGAGCTTCTGTAAGATTTTCTTTTCTTTATTTGCCTACAAAAATCATAGTTAAAGGCTCTCTGGTGAAGCCTATCCAGAAGCATAGAGATCTGGTAGTTTGAAGAACCCTAATTCCAAATTTGATTGCTTAAGTTTTGGTATGAATGTAGGGCATAGAATTCTATCTTGTTCTGGTTGCATTTTACACATAGAATATAAATGTAATTTTACAGATCTCATTGCAAAGTTGTTCAGTTTGTAATTTCAAAAGGGTGAAATTTTAGAAATTTCTCCTATATATCTGTATTTGTTTTGGTGCAGTCTTTAAAGCTTTTTTTTTACCCAGTGTGTGTGGGTTTTTTCTTATTTAATATAAATAATAATAAACCTCAATATTGGATATTGAATTAGTCACTTGCTGTGATATTTTCAGAGGCAATTGTCAGTATCAGGATTTCATAGGTACTGAAGTCCCCCCAAATTCTTGCCACAGAGGAGTGGGTTTTTCTTTGTTTTTCTTCTTTTCTTGTTTTTCTTTTTAATTTTATTGTGGAAGTGGAGACTGGAACAAATGTTTTTTGTTTTTCTTGGAAACGGTTTCCGAAAATTGATCTCTAACTTCTTCCTAAAACTGAACTGAAATTGCTCTGAAAGTCCCTTTTGTTTTCTTTGTTGTCTCCTGAAAAGGCTCTTAATGAAGTGGAAGAGAAGGCATCATCAATCTGTCAATCAGAAGATGGACATCATGCCTCTCTGCATTTCAAATCCAGCATCAGTTCTGACAGGTCAGTACAAATACATCCAGTCAGGTTTCCACTTCCTTAACACTGGAAAAAGGTTTTTTTAATCTGTAAGGTGCTGCATGGTTGTAGTTAAGTTAGTTTTTCATTTTCCCCTCGTCCTCCTTTCCTGAGCTCAGAATTCTAGGGAAAGCCCTTCTTGTAATATTCAGACTGGGAATGAACGTGAGGGGGGAACTTACCTGAGCAATTACAGATACTTTAAAAAGCTCTTTCCAGACTCTACAGATAACTTAGAATCACGCTTTTATCCTGTTACAATTCACTGTTATGCTTGTTTTGAATGTAGGGTACTTCGGCTGTTGAGAGAAGAAAATTCCTTGGAGAATTCCCAGTTGTGGGCTGAAAAGGATATGAGAAAAACTACCATAGCACAGGAATCACATGTGCCTTTGACTCCAACTGCTTCTCCATCATGGGATCAGTCAGGTTGGATTTGGCAAATCAGCCTCTCAAGGGTAGTTAAGCTACTCACAGGATCCTGTGTGGATTCCTCTTTTGGTGGGGTGAGAGACAGACATATGCTAATCTCGCTTGGATGAATTTCCAGACTAAAAAGCCAGATCTTCTAATAAAATTACTTTATAACGTATTACTGTTAATATTCCTGAAATATTTCACTTGTGTTTTTGTTGTGTTGTATTTAAATCAGCCCTCAATGGTAGCAGTGTAGTAAAGAGAATCCATTCAAGACTTCAGAAGGAAGATGAAGAAGAGACTGGAGACTCCATTTACAGTGTGAGACAAGTGCTGAACCCAAAGTCAAGGAAACAAAAGCAAATTGCATCAAAAGGTTTAGTACTTACCTCACTTTGACCAAGATCCTCAATATCATAAGGAGATGTAGGTTGAAAGGGATCTTTGGAAGTCATCACAGGGCTAACTGTTGGGATTGTGGGGAACCTTGTCCATATGAGTCTCGAGCATCTCTGAGGATGGTCATTCCATAGTCCCTTGTATAACATATTCCCCTGTATTCTGCATATTCGTTGGCAAAGCAGATTCCGTAGGAATCTGGGAACCATAAATACAGCCCTTTGATGCTACCTGTTAACTTTGCAAGCTGTGGAGTTCCTTCCTGTGCAGGGCTTTTCTGTTTCTTAGAATCACAGAATTATTTGGATTGGGAGAGACCTTAAAGCTCATCCAGTTCCAAATCCCTGCCACAGGCAGGGACACCTTCCACTAGAGCAGGTTGCTCCAAGCCCCTGTGTCCAACCTGGCCTTGAACACTGCCAGGGATGGGGCAGCCACAGCTTTTCTGGGCACCCTGTGCCAGCGCCTCAGCACCCTCACAGGGAAGAACTTCTTCCTAATATCTAAATCCACCCTCTTTCATTTTAAAGCCATTCCCCCTTGTCCTGTCATTACAAGTCCTTGTAAAAAGTCCCTCTTCAGATTTCTTCTAGCCCCTTTAGGCACTGGGAGCTGCTCTAAGGTCTCCCTGGAGCCTTCTGTTCTCCAGGCTGAACAAACCCAGCTCTCTCAGCCTATCTCCATAGGAGAGGTGCTCCAGCCCTTGCATCATCTTCATGGCCCTTCTCTGGACTCACTCGAACAGCTCCACATCCCTCTTGTGTTGGGAGCCCCAGAGCTGGATGCAGTACTGCAGGTGGGGTCTCGCAAGAGTGGAGTAGAGGGGAGAATCACCTCCCTTGACCTGCTGGCCATGCTGCTTTTGATGCAGCCCAGGATACATTTGGCTTTCTGCGCTGCAAGTGCACATTGATGGGTCATGTCGAGCTTCTTGTCAACCAGTTTCTGTTACAGCTTTCTATTCTGTGATGCATTTCAGTACCCATATTCTACACACATTTGTATGTGGGAACTGATACCAAATACAAACTGTAATATGAAAGGACTGGTGTAAGGGAGTTGCTCGCTAAATATGAGGCCTGAGAGCAGCTGGTATTTTTCACTGGCTGTTCACTGGCAAATGTTTCCGTGCTTTTAGCTGAGAAGGAAGAAAGTACAAGGAGGCATCAAAGATAAAAGCACCAGACAATCATACCTGAGAGGTACTAATGCGGTGGTAGAAAATGTGGGTTTTGATGACATGAAAACTGAAATGACTGGGTACATTCTTTGATGGTCCATTCCAGCTCAGGGCAAGAGAGGGCCTCTCCTTTGATTTGCTCTAATAAACAATGTCATTTCTCGGGTACTGCAAAGCTTTATAAAAGTTGAAATTCCCGTTACACCCTTTATGTTTCTTCTCTCCACAGTGAAAAGGAAGGAGACTGCACAGAACTCTGCGAGACAGAGAAGGGATGGTTCCCCAGGTAGTTCAATCCCCATCAACCTTCGGAGGGACAACATGTCCAGCCTGGATGTTCTCAACCACATGATACATGAAGTGGAGCATGAATTGGAGGAATATGAGCGATGTACAGGTCGTGTGGTTCAGAAAACTCAGAGAAGTGAAGGGCTCACTGGGTTTACCTTGTCACTGGTGAACGCACTCTGTCGCCTTATGCGCTACGTCAAAGAGGTGAGAAGACTCTGAATTATCATAGAATAGTTAGGGTTGGAAAGGACCTTAAGATCATCTAGTTCCAACCCCCTTGGCATGAGCAGGGACACCACACACTAAACTATGTCGCCCAAGGCTCTGCCCAGCCTGGCCTTGAACACCTCCAGGGTTGGAGCAAAAGCAACTTCCTTGGGCATCCTATTCCAGTGCCTCACCACCCTCACTGTGAAGAACTTCTTCCTTATATCTAACCTAAAGTTCCCTTGTTTAAGTTTAAACCCGTTACCCCTTGTCCTACCACCAGAGTCCCTAATGAAGAGTCCCTCCCCAGCATCCCTGTAGGCCCCAAATTGCTTCTGTAGAGTGAATAAAAAAGCTTATAAAGCTACTTTGCAGATGTGAACTTTGGTCTTTTCTCACTCCTAGTCAGTTCACTTTGAAGCCTGATTATCGTTGCTTATTATTTGGATTGCATGCAATTCAGAGTTAAAACTTTGAGTTTGTTAGAAACAGGTATCCCTGCTGAAAACAGAGGAGTTGATTGCAGCAGATGACTCTCAGTGGTAAATACCAGTTGAGATAATATTTGGAGATGGGGTGTATTTCTCTTATTCAGGGATTCCTTTGTGTAAATGCACACAACCATCTGGGGAAGAGCTCCATCTGCTAATTCTGACATGTTTATGTGACTTCATAGCCTCTACTCTTCTAGTAGTTGTGGTCCAGAAAGTGGCAGTCGTGTATTCTATTTACCCATTAGAGGTGGAAGGGACTCTCATGCCTTGTGTAGGAAGCCTGCCTACTGCAGTGGTCTATCTCAAAATAATAGATTGATAATTTGTTTAGTAATTGATAATAAACTGATAGTCTGGAGAGGGACCTTTTACAAGGGCCTGTAGGGACAGGACAAGGGGAATGGCTTTAACCTGCCAGAGGGGAGATTGAGATGAGCTCTTAGGCAGAAATTCTTCCCTGTGAGGGTGCTGAGGCGCTGGCACAGGGTGCCCAGAAAAGCTGTGGCTGCTCCATGCCTGGCAGTGTTCAAGGCCAGGTTGGACACAGGGGCTTGGAGCAACCTGCTCTAGTGGAAGGTGTCGCTGCCCATGGCAGGGGGTTGGAACTGGATGAGCTTTAAGGTCCCTTCCAACCCAAACCAGTCTATGATATTATCTATGATATTATTCTATTGATAATATCTTTCGAGGGCAAGAGGTTCATTACTGTAAGGTCTTTTGCCTCATGCTCAAGTTGATTATTTGTCATATAAAACTTTTTAGCTTCTTTAAAATAAAAAGAAAATAATGAAACCTTGTAGAACTTTTCCTTTCCCTGAGGGATAACATTAGAAAACAAGTACTTTCTCTATTTAGTCAAGTTTGTCTTCATTAATGAATTAATGAAACTGAAGAATAGGCACAAGTAGCACAGGATACTAACACGCATCAGCACATCTGGAGTTATTTGGTTACTGCATGAAGATTCAGTGGCTTAAAAAACAGTATCCATGCAGAGAGACAATGCTTGTAGTTACAGCCTGGAAAAGTTGTAAAGGCAGAAAAAAAAAAGATGTAGAGGATTCCCTACAGTGTTCAGGAGCAACTAAGAAGGAACAGTAAGCTCTGTGGCAGTTCTCAAGCCATGAAAATTGGATTTACTGTGAAAGTAATGAAGTCAATTTAGCAATAGCGGGAAGAGCTGTTGCAGTATGAGCTCATATTGACCCATTCCTGGTTCTAAATATGAATCTGTATTGGGTTATAGTAGGTTTTTAACTTTTTCTCCCTCTTTAGAGTGAAATGCAGCTGCGTGAGAAGGAGGTGGTGAGGCAGCAGCATGAAGAGATGTTGAATGAACACAGAGAACTGATTGATGCTCTGACTGCAGAAATACTTCTAGTCAGGGAGGAAAACAATACTATGCAGGTACTGAGCCCTTTAACCTTACCCATTAAGATGACTTGTAGAGATACTGAGTTGTGTTGCAAGTATGGGCTGAGATGCATTGTCTCATGTTCAAGATATGATAAAATTGAGTGAGGAGCCTGAGAATTCTAACAGCAGGTAGGAGGTGTGGGGAAGGAATGTTTGGGAAGTCATTATTTTACCTTCATTTAAATTCAGAGCCTGAGAAAATTCTAGTTCTGTGAAACTGAGCTTTACTTAATCAATCTAAAAGTTTAAGCATCTTCCTCAGCACTTCTGTACTGGTAACACTGCTGGAGCAACTGAGTAGCCTGGATGTAAGACTGCATTTTCTCTTTTTTGCCAGTTTGCAGTAGATGTAGATTTGTTCAGTGGTTATGTTTGGGAATGAAGCAATAAAGCAACCTTGGAGAGGAAGTGGGGTCATAAGTTAGGAAAAGGAAAACCAAACAATTTATTTGAGTCAGGAGAGGAAATAAATGAGAAACCTGGAGACACTAATATTTAATACCTCACTGGAATCCTACAGATACATACAGTGGTATTAAGAGGCCAAGTTTCTTCACAGGGCTGCTTGAAGTATCTAACTTTCTGATTCTTGGAATACAAATTTCTGTGTCACTCCCCTTTTTTTCTTCCTCCTTTAGAAGAAGCTTCAGCAATACATGACAGTAACAGATGAACAGCTGATGTCTCTCACGCAAGCATTTAAAGGCCTCCCTTTGGTAGAATCCAGAAGAGAAGAAAGTCCAAACCATTTTGGAATTGCAGGCAAAGGTCCAGCAAATGGCCAAGGTGTGTGTATGTGTGTGTGAAGGCTGAAAGAGGAGTGGTGGCTCGTTTATCCCTGTAGTGGAAAATCTGGTATTTAATCGTTATTCAAGCAGGCATCTATGTCTTGCATCAGCATGAATCTCACTTGTGGAAATTCATATGCCATGGTTTCTGCTGTCTTTTGCTACAGATTATTTTTTAACAGTATTATAGGTTGTATTCCATCCCCACTGGCATCATTCTGTCTGGATCAGGACTTCAAGATTAACCTTAAAGCAAAAAAACCCCAAACAAGCAAACAGAAAACTGAATCGGGATCTTGCCATTCTGTTGCGGAGGCAGCCTGACAGTATGAGATTGGTTCTTCCATCAGACGCTGGAGGTCGCTGCTGATGAGAAATAGCAGCTTCTGAGGCCTGTTAACTAACCAGACAGAAACCTATTACTCGATACTTGTAAACTGAAACAGGGGAAGTTCAGGTTAGATATAAGGAAGAAGCTCTTTACTGTGAGGGTGGTGAGGTACTGGAACAGGTTGCCCAGAGAAGTGGTAAATCATAGAATCATAGAATAGTTAGGGTTGGAAAGGACCTTAAGATCATCTAGTTCCAACCCCCCTGCCATGAGCAGGGACACCACACACTAAACTATGTCGCCTAAGACTCTGTCCAGCCTGGCCTTGAATACCTCCAGGGTTGGAGCATTCACAACTTCCTTGGGCAACCTATTCCAGTGCCTCACCACCCTCACTGTGAAGAACTTCTTCCTTAGATCTAACCTAAAGTTCCCTTGTTTAAGTTTAAACCCATTACCCCTAGAGTCCCTAACGAAGAGTCCCTCCCCAGCATCCATCCCTGGCAGTGTTCAAGGCCAGGTTGGACAGAGCCTTGGGCGACATGGTCTAGTGTGAGGTGTCCCTGCCCGTGGCAGGGGTTTGGAACTGGATGATTTTTAGGGCCCTTCCAACCCCACCCATTCCATGACTTCATATCAGAGGTAAGTGAGCAGTTGAGTGATATGTAACATAGATGCAGGATGAGTTAAGCCAGTAGTACTGATGGCCAAACTAACCAAACGTGATTCACCTTGTACCTTTAATGTTCTTTCATCATGGAGTTTTCTCCTAATTGTCTTGTTGATTGTTTAAATGCATTGGGTTTGCTCTCAAGTTCAGTAGCTTCTTATAAATCCCAAGACTCCTTGGAGCTCTTTGTATTTCTTAGTTAAATGGTGGGTTTGTGGACATTTTTGTCGTCAAAATCTTTCTCTGGGGTTCTCAGGAAGAAGCCACGTACCAGATCCCTTTCTTTGTGATTTATCCAGGCTTTGTAAAAGCAAATAAAAGAACCACCCTCAAAATAATCAGAAAAAAGCCCCCTCAGGATAAAAAAAAGGGGGAGGGAGTAGAAGGAAAAAAACCACACAACCACCCTCCCCGAGAAAACCAGCCAAACCCCAAACCTCCCTATTCAACAGTTCTGCAGGAGCAGAATTTCGAAATCTTTCCTTATTGGTCCCTCTTCTGAGGAAAAGGCATCTTCCTGAGAGGAAAGCTTCCTAAAGTTACAAAACTCTTTTCTTCCTTCTCCTCCTTCAGAAGGAGATCTCTTGTGCCCTTCAGGCATCTGACTGGATGTGAAACTCTTGAGATAGCTAGTTTAGGACAGAAACCATGTGTAAGGTAATGGAGGACTTCTCTGGAGAGAAGAAGAGTGACTGAGAGGAGTGGGGGGATATCACAGTGACAGATACCATGTGAGGAGGGTACTTCAGAAATGCAGTTCTGTACAGTGAAGAAGAACAAGAAGATCTTGCTCGTTTCTTGCTGGGGTCATTGAATAATGGGTGGTAGGTTTTAAATTCAATCTTAGAATCTCAGTAATATGAACCACAAGCAGTATTTTATGTGAACAGGCTCTTCTGGCTCTTTGCCTTTGAAGGGTGCTTTTTGACTCTGGTGTTTTGGAATCGGGTACGTTCTGCATAATTTTCTACCAACTTCTCTTATGGGAACAAATGTCCCCAACAAAATCATTAAGGGATAATTCAAAGACAGCACTGGCAAAGCATATTAAAATTACTGTGGTCTCACAGCTAGCTAAAACTTTTCATGTTTTGCATCTTGTGCCTCCCTGGTATGTTCAAAATAGGTGGCAGTGTGGCAATGTAGACATAAACTAGTTGTAGATAAATACAGAAGAATAATTTTTCTTCTTTTATGTAGGAGATGTCTGATTTGAATTGAGTCAGAAAAAGATCATCAGAGTTGTAAGGCCACATGTAAGAGCATCTCTTGCTCTTACAGGCAGTAAAATTTGTATTATGCTCAAACGAAGGAGTTCTATACCTATGGATCAGAAGGAAGTTTGGAGTGTGTGTGGAGCATACTGTAGTCTGTCTTTTCACATACCTGAACAGAAGAGTTGTTAGTGAGATGTTTCCCTCCATTGCTATTGCACTAAAACTAATTTTTTTATTTATTTATTAGGTTTTTTCCACTTTTATCTCTGCTTTGTCTTTTTCTTTAGAAAAACCTGACTTGAGCTATTCTGAGCCCGGGACTGATGGAGACAACAGGGAAAATATGCTGAAATTCCCTCAGGAAGAACTTCCTTTCATGTGTCCCCCAAGGCCAGGTACCTCAGGTGGTGTGGGATCTGGTAGAGGCTTGCCAGGTCACGTCTTCCAGCCAGCTGTGCTGTTGTCACCCCCGCGGCAGAAGAGCAGTCAGGAATTGTCTCCCCTCCAGAACGGTGAGATCTCTCTGGCTCTGGTAGATTTGGGAGTCTGTAGGGTGTTGATGTTTCAATCTCACACTACCTTTGGAGATTATTTTTTGAAGGACATGGAGCTGTTGGAGCAAGTCCAGAGGAGGCCATGAGGATGATCAGGGGCTGGAGTATCTCCCATATGGAGACAGGCTGAGAAAGTTGGGGCTGTTCAGCCTGGAGAAGAGAAGCTGCGTGGAGACCTCAGAGCAGCTTCCAGTATCTGAAGGAGGCTACAAGGATGCTGGAGAGGGACTCTTCATCAGGGACTGGAGTGATAGGACCAGGCGGGATGGGTTCAAACTAAAACAGGGGAAGTTCAGGCCAGATGCAAGGAAGAAGTTCTTTACTGTGAGGGTGGTGGGGTACTGGTACAGGTTGCCCAGAGAAGTGGCGAATGCTCCATCCCTGTCAGTGTTCAAGGCCAGGCTGGACAAAGCCTTGAGTGACATGGTCTAGAGTGAGGCGTCCCTGCCCGTGGCAAGGGGATTGGAACTGGATGATCTTCAGGTCCTTTCCAACCCAAACCATTCTGTGATTCTATGATTTTCTATGGAAATTTTTTAATTTGTATACTTAGACACATTGGTCCTATATGGCTGGAACACCCAATTTCAGCATCCGCATAAGCATTTCTTTGCTTTCTATGCTTATTGCTAGATTTCCTTTAGACTTTCTGTCCCCTGCAGTTTTCCATCTGCTGCCTGTGGTCCTGCCAGTGGCAATCCAGACTGACATTTTTATTTTGTACTAGTTTTGATTGTCACTTCTGTATTATTGCTGTAGCTCTTTGATATCATCACATCATCTCAGATTTCCATCTACTGTTGGTGTAATCCAGCCTCCATTACCTTTTACAGTGGGACCACTGAAGGCTGTAAATTCAATGCCTCTGCATTCTATTCTGCAGACAAACCTGGAAGTCTGTAGGCTGCATTTTCTTGCTTAGAGCCAATCTTCCCAGCAGAGGTTTTTCTGAAAGCTTTGGGAGCAGATTTCCATTTGTTTTCATTTAATACACAGGCAGTGGCTGAAGAAGTTTGGGGTGAATTTGTGTGGTGCTGGATAACCAGGTTAATTCAGTCTTGTATCAGTATCCATAGGCATCATGATTTTTATAGGTCAGACACTCAATTCTGGTTGTTAGGAGGAAGAAAGTTCATCGGGGTGATTAAGGAACGTATTTAGCACCCTTTGTGACTCCCCAGATAAGCTGTTTCCTCCTGCAACTGTCATTGTAACCACATCCATCTTAGTGGATGTGCTAGGCCTCTGTAACCCTCTGTGCTGACAGGAAGCAGGGCACAATAGTTGGGTTTTGTATCTCCACCCCTCAGCTGTGTGGCTTTGTAAGTCTTTTCCAAGTCAGAAAAATAACCCAAAAGTCCTTCTGATTTCTAAGGAGTTAGCAGGGTAATTGAAAGATTCTATCTAGTTCAACCTTCTGGTGGGCTGCTGTGATGTGAGGAGGAGGCACATCAGAGGAAAACGAGCTATAGGTAGTGTTCTGCAAAGAGCAATATCCAGTTGCAGTCCCATTGAGAACTGTCAGATATTGTCTGTTATTTGAAACAAGAATATAAAACTGTATTCCTAGCCTTGGCTACAGTTCAGCTTTGTGAGAAATGCATTGTTACTCTTTTCAGATGGTGAAGGGTGCTAAATGGCTCAACCAGTGTTAAACTTCTTGAATGTTTCTTTATGAAAAACAATTCATAGATCAGTGCATAAATTTTTAAATGTCATGCTCTGCTCAAGGCAAAAGCTAAAGTTGGGAAAGAATAGGCTATTTGGCATATAAAGCATAGAAAATTTGGGTTTGATTACAAAATCCAGCTTGGATTTAACACATAGCAGCTGACAGTGCAGTAACGTGTTCATTGTGTGGTGTGCCACTTTTAAGGGCAGAGTGTGGAAGCCCCTTTCCTAGAGGCTGAGTACATAGCTAGATTATTATGCCAAAAGTCTGTATTATTTTATTATTCTACAAGTTTCATTCCCAACCCAGTATAAATATTCCAGCTGAAACACAAAGTTATGATCCATGAGGTAAAGTAACTGTATTTTGGAAAATGAAGGACTAAGAAGTGATGTTTGATCTATCAGCTATGAAATTCAAAACAACTTACTTTCTCTCTGACTTCTCTCATTCTCTACTTAAATCATTTCAGTGTAAGACTGTTTGTACTAGGAAATATTAAACCTGGTGAGTTCTTCCAGCAGGATCTTGCGTAAGAGTGATTTTTGATCAGTAACAGATGTTACAATTCAAATGCCTGCTTGATTGTTACTAACCTGATGCAATAAAGTCATTGTTAGTTTTCTTGATGAGGATCACAGTCTCTTTCTCTACTGTTCCTTTATTTCTTGTTTGCCGCATTCACAGTCATTCCTCAGTCTCCTGAAAACACCGAAAGAGAACCGTGCAAGGAAAGGAGCTCACCTTCCTCCCTCAGAACACAAAGCACAATTGAGAACTGTCTCATCTCTCGAAGGCAACCAGTTCCTCCTGCAGACAGAGACCTGGAGAGTTCCCATGAGAAAAGCAGTCTGTCCTGCCCCCATGACACGAGGAAAAGCAGCCCAGCTGAAGAGTTACTTCCAAACGGTGATCTGCTGGGACAGATAGCTGAGCTCACACGGCAGAACTCCCTCATTAAAGCTCAACTCAGCAAATTCAGAGGCTTCTCTGAAGACACAAGTTACTATCTACATCAGCTAGACCAAATACAAAATGCAAATCCTAGTCCAGCCTCTTCACAAGGACAGGTGAGAATGTAACAAAAGTTATGGATTCCCCTTTCTGCTGATCTGCTTTCCTATAGCTTACTAATGCTTTAAGACTGTTCCTTTTCTGTTGTGAAGAGTAGCAAACCAAATACTCCTTTAGTTCATTTGCTTGGAGGCTTGTGATTTTTATCATTCCATAGTTTCTTATATTGGGCCGATGCTATATACTGAGTGCTGGAAAGTGTGCAGCACATTTATAAGTTTAGGATAAGGTTATGATGTAAAAAGGAGGTGTGATTGCAACGTCATCCTCTTGAATGTTGGATAATATTAACAGTGAAAGCACTGTACCAACCCACAGGTTCTTGTCAAACTTGTACATTACATATTTAGACCCATGCCATATATCTTTTCTGCTACTGTGTCCTAAAAGCCTGTGAGATTGAAGTTAGTGCAGGTACCTCTCTTGCAAATACTTGATTACAGTGTATCTACTAGTTGGGTCTGCCTTGTTAGTCCTGCCCTGTGGTGAAAATCCCAAGACTGTTGGGAAAGGGAGAACTTGAAGGCTTCAGTTCACATAGAAAACCTTTTAATCTGAAACTAAGCAGCTATTCAGTGGCACCCCTGAGTGGAATGAACATCACAGAAATGCCTAATCCTTGCCCTTGCTATTGTCTTTATTTTCGTTCCATCACAGTGGCTGAGTTACTGTTCAGTTAAGGATCCTAAAGATTTTAAATCTCTTCATGTAAATGTAGGCTGAGAGCATTGTTCCTTTCCCCATTCTATTAGGTTGTGTAATATTTACTCATTTAGTTGTACAAAATGATGGAAACTTTTTGAAGTGATGTTTTTGTGGAAGCAATTCTGGAGGGGAAGGGGTCAAAGTGGATGAAAAGCTGGCTTAAAGATGAGTTCCAGGATACTTCTGCTGAAAATCTGCTTTGCTTCCCCACATGCTCCTGAATATGTGTATCTCTGAGTAAATATTTTCTTAATGATGGTTAATTGCTGGGTGGTTGGGGTTTCTTTTTCTTCTTTTCCCTTAAATAATGCACACAACAGTTGTTTGGGTTTTTTCCTATCTGTAGGAAGAACAGTTTAAAACACTGTTGTGTTTAGTCAGTGAAGGAACTAGATACATGACAGTGGAACGGCCAAAATGAGGTGCTATATGTTTACTTTCAGTTTGCAAATTAAATCCATAGAAGTACTTGAAGTACACTGTATGCTCTGCTTGAAGGTGCAAATTGTAAGTTTTTAACTGGAAGTCATTATCCAAGTAGACTCCTCTCATGGCATCGAAGAGCTTGGAGGAAAGAATAGCAGAGCTGGATCGTCAGAGTACAGAAGCACGTGATAAACTGTTGCAGCTAATAGAGCAGCAGAAGTTAGCTGCTGATGATACGGTCCCTCCAATGACATCTCCTGTTCTGCCCCCATCCCTAAATTATCTTGGTAAGTACCCAGCTTCAGGAGAAAACAAAACTAGTAAGACAATGTTTTTCCCCCTTTGAGAGTTCTCTGTCCTTACCTGATTGGATCAGCAGTTGTGGTCAGCAGTATAGTTGCTGTTTAATGTCTCTGTGGTACAAACACTCCTTACTTCAGAGAGCTAAAAATAGATCAGATAAACTTCTCCTAAAGTTAGTTTCTTAGTAATTAGTCTGCTGCAGCTATCATGCCTCACAGTAAATCTGTTGTTTGCTACATCTTTGTCTGCAGAACAGCTCTGCTACATAGTCAGTGATGGGCAGAACTAGGCTTTTTAATCAGTCCTCTCTGCTGGAGAATGTTTTATTAAAAGACTCCAGTATCTAAAGGGGCCTACAGGAAATCTGGAGAGGGACTTTTTACAAGGGCATGTAGTGGTAGGACAAAGGGGAATGGCTTTTAACTGGAAGAGGGTAGATGTAGATTAGATATTAGGAAGGAGCTCTTCCCTGTGGGGGTGCTGAGGTGCTGGCGCAGGGTGCCCAGAGAAGCTGTGGCTGCCCCATGCCTGGCAGTGTTCAAGGCCAGGTTGGACACAGGGGCTTGGAGCAACCTGCTCTAGTGGAAGGTGTCCCTGCGTGCAGCAATGGGTTGGAACTGGATGAGCATTAAGGTCTCTTCTAACTCAAACCATTCTATGATTCTATGATAAGATCAAGTATTTACATTAGGTTTCTAAAAATCATGGCAGGGTGGTTATCCAGTTCTCAACCACCTTTAGTTTTTGGTCTTTTGAGTGCTCTTCCCATCAGACTATGTTGCTGAGTTACTGCCAGTGCTAATAAAAAGAAATAACTGGAGCTTCCACTCATCTGAAGAAGTAAATTAGCAAATAGAATATTCTTGCTAATTCAAGATGCATAGATAAGCTGCTATGTGTAACTATAAACAGAAATGCTGTCCAGCAGATGAGGGCTGCTTTATCTTTTCATGGAGTCATTGTATTGACGGGCAGAACATGTGAGCATGTACTCATGCTGTGTCTAGGACATCTACCCTTTCCCCCTTCCTAAACCATAGAGGATATATAAAGGAAAGGACTTGAGGGGGAGAGGAAGGAGGGGGAGGAGTGAGCATGGGAGTGTGCATATGCATGCAGGTGCATATGCAATGACTCATGCTGTGGGATCATAACACTTCTAACACTTGTATGGCTGTTGTAACATAAGTTCAGCACAATAAGTAAAATCTTAAAAGAATGAAGTAGAGAAATCAGAATTCTCTAAGCCTCTGATTGCCAAACCCAGAAGGTTTATCCATGGAAGAATCATTCTATGTCTGTGCACATTGACCCTGGTTGCTCTGGGTATCAGCCTTCAATATTTGTCATTTTCAGAGACTAGGTATGGAGTTGATGTTTAGCCTGATGTTTTATGTCTCATCTGTATATTCTGTGCAATAACGGAGAGTTATGTGATGCCCTCAAAAAATGGGAAAATTAAGTGACTGTTGTGCAATGTTGCTGTGTTCTCATCAGAATCAAGTTATTATTTATTGCCTAGAAAATGCCAGGAGGACAATTGAAGCGTCTGTTCCTGTGGCAGCTGCTATGGACAGCTCCAAAGAAGACAGTGTTTCCCCTGCCAGTATGACCAGTATAAGAAGGTAAAAGTTAACCCTTTACTATTTCATTTTTTAATGAAATGTCTTGATTACTCATACAGCTGAACTTGTTCACAATGGAGAAATTGCCATGTTTTTATTTTGGCTTCATGGACTTCCCCTGACTTCATCACACTCTATGGATATGGGACAAAGGTCCGATAGCTTTTTCACAACTTCCATTGTTTGTATTTGAGATAACTGCAATGTTACATAGAACAGATGACCTGGGTTGTTGAAGACTACTGATGAGGGGTCCTAACTCAGGATCTGAGACATAATTCTAGTAGTCACTTCCATTTTTCACTTTTTCAATCTCCTTTTGAATGTCTACAGGTCTGTCGGAGACTCTAGCAAACCTTGTTCACCCCTAAGTGCCACATCAGAAAGTGGGAAATTAACTCCTGTCAGCCAAAGGCCAAAGGTAAGACCGAAATGTCTTCAGCCAGAAAGTTTGGTTGTGGTTGTCTCATAAGGAAAAAGCAAGACTGGTAAAGAAGGGGAAGAGAGCTCTGTCCTACCTTAAACCTACTGAGGCTAACAGTAATCAATTTATGGCAGTTTGGATTGATAGAATCATAGAATGGTTTGGGTTGAAGGGACCTTAAAGCTCATCCAGTTCCAACCCACTGCTGCATGCAGGGACACCTTCCACTAGAGCAGGTTGCTCCAAGCCCCTGTGTCCAACCTGGCCTTGAACACTGCCAGGGATGGGGCAGCCACAGCTTCTCTGGGCACCCTTGTGCCAGCACCTCAGCACCCTCACAGGGAAGAATTCTGGACAATTGGTAAGGGGAGACCTGAGTGCTAGTGACATCAGTCGTTTGCTGCCACAGAGTTGTTACATAGAAGTGAGTAATCCTGTAACTACATTTTCTGCTGTGGCATCTTCATGCATTAGAACTGGGAATTTCTGGCTGTATTGGTAGAGCTACATGTAAGAGCCAAGCAAGCTCTTACCTAGCTGTTGCACAAGTTAGTTGCTGCAGGATAAATAAATCCAAATGCAAAGAAAAGTCCCCAGTCTAGATTTCTGATTCGTGATGTGCAAAGAAAATAGACTACAGCAAGATGCTTTCATGGGGAACTCCAGGCAGTAGCACAGTCTGGTGCATCAGTCATAATGTCTGTTTACATGCCTGAAAGCAACCATGAGATTTTAACCATCTTTCCTGATGTCTAAAACAACCTAAATTAGGAGTGATAAAGAGAAACAAGTTAGGGTCCAAGACTGCCTGTCCTGACAACAAAGCACACATCCCTTGAGGGGAAATTTGGAATACTTAAGGTAGATGTGGCTTAAGCTAAGTGTCTAAAGTAGGTGGTATGACTCCCTCCGTGGTGGCAATGGTAAACAATTACTACATATTGCTGAACTGATATGTAGCAACCCTACACAAGCCAGAACTAACTAGCAAGTCTGTGGAAAATTTATTAATTTCAACTGGTTTCTTCTTTTTGCAGGTGGAAAAGCACAAAGAGGAAGGCTGGTTTGCATTGTCAGTGCATGTCATGTAAAGGAAGCTGCACTCAAGTCCTATATTTTGTATGTTTTTTTAATGGACCACACTAGTGCCCCTCTCCAGATGTACATTTTAACTCTGAAGTGCTTTCCTGTCAATGTCATTAGTATAAAAAGGTCCATATGCTTATTGTACTTGTGCCATACAGAGCATACACTACAGGAAGTCCTGGGAATGAGTTTCTGAGGTAGACATGCTGCTGTGCCATCAGATCTTTACACCAAGTAACTCTTTCACAAGGGTGTAAACTCAGGCTGCTGTAGTAATACAACTGAGCATCTGATACCTGTGTTCAGATACACTGCAGACAGGAGGGTTTGGAAATTCCATGTGTAACTTCCTGGATCGTGTATTCACACAAGATGGGAATGAAAAATTCAGGAAAAACTGAGATGAGGGAATGCACCCTCATGTTCAAAAGCAACCTGGAGATTAGGAGGCCAGTCTGTTCCTCCTGAATAAGAATTTGCGTAAGAAATTTGTTCCTTCTGTGGTTTACACTTGCTCCCAGAAGTTGTTTTCTGTGCAGTTTCTGTATCAGGAATTACATCTGGACTCAAGGATCGCTTTTTAAAGATCCCATTTCATATTTTTATACAGAATCTAAAGTGACTATTTGAAGTTGAAACCAGAATCTCTATTTGCTCTGTACCAAGGTATGATCTCTTTGATACAATAGAAAACTAATGTGAGTGTGATTGTATTAAGCTGTTTTGTTATGTGTGTCTGTAATACTCTAATGGCTGTATTTTTATATTGGATTTATGTGATTTTTTAAAGTAGCCATTATTTTATTATTAATGATTAACAATAAAATCTAGGACTGAAGAAAATCCTGATACATCTGTTCCTTACAGTGTAGCACATCCGGGCAAAACCCTTTATAATGGAGATGAAAAAAAATCTGCAAGTCTGGGGAAGAAAATACTTGCAAGTCTCAAAACTAGACTTGGAGTCAAGTTGTTTTAATGTTTTTTCTTTCTTAAAATATTAAATTTGGGGGTGTTTGAAACAGATTTAGAATGGGGTTCAAAAGAGGACCTGTTCAAGTATTCATTGACACCTCTGCAATTTCTTTTTCCAGTGGTAACTTTGGGAAGTGAAGAAGGCTTCTAGTCTTGTATTTTGTGAAGTAACAGTTAAAAATGCTTGGAAGATGTCCCCCGGTTCCTGCAGAGGCAGGGATGCCAAGCTTGGGATGAGCTACGTAACCGTAGTGCCCACACATTAACATCATTGCTTCTGACTTCCTGCAAGCTAACAGTTGCTACAAATGCTCCGAAACCATTTAGTCAGAAATCTCCTTTTGGAACACAGGATTGATCTTTTGAGTCATCCTCTGGCTTCCATAACTTGGAAGCTGCTCTGTCAACTATTTGTTTATAAGTTGAATCATCTTGCTATTTTCCAGTCTAAAACCACTTGGTGAGGTGGGAAATACTGCAGGTTTTCCTTTCTTAGTGAAATCCAGGTCTCCTTGAGATCTGTAGAACTCAGGTCCAGGAGGAGAGTCAGGACTAGTTGGGACTCTGTTACCCCATGAACTAACACCTGTGGTGCAGGGCACCCATTTTGTGCCCATCTGAATCAGCAGGGCCATGCAGAGCTCCCGCCTGGCTCCCTAAAGCTGCATTAGCAGAGCAGCGTGTTCAAGCTAGCAAATTCTTCCACTTGGCACATCTAAGTAGGTCAGGTGCCACCTTGATGTGGCTGGTCTTGTGCCAGTGCTTGCTTCCAGTAGGGGCTGAGCACTCTGTACTCAGACAGCAAGAATGTGCTACTGGGCATCTAGTCACCCTCCCACCAACTCCTCCATAGCTCAGGGTAGGCAGCCAAGCATCAGGACATTTGGCTACAGACCAGGGTAAGCACAGTAGTAAAGAGCAGGGAAAGGGAAGAGCTTCAGCCTTTATTTTTTCTTGTCCTTCTCTTTTACCAGGTGTACCACATAGGAATTGGTTTCCCTTTGAAAACATTTCCTATGGAAAGCATGGGAAAGTTTCCTGTATGTATTTTGATTACAAAATCCTGAAGTAAAAACTTATTGCAAATAGTTGTTCCATTTTATTTTTGGAAATGGGAAAACTCTATTTCTTGGGTTTTAATTTATTTCTTTTTTCATAGTCATTAATTCTTCTGCAGTTACAGGAAGGAGACTGTGCAATGTGTTGCCTTGTTTGGGTTTTATTTTGGTTTTGAAATATTAAATAGTTTATACATAGCTGAAGGGAAGGAGCAGAGAAATGAAGTCCAGAAACATCTTGGTTTCTGTTTTTCTGTTCCAGTTTCTAGAGGCAAACTGAGAATGCTGTAGGTGTGATACTTCAACTCTGGGTTACACTAGGCTTTAGGAGGACATACAGCATCATAGAATGGTTTGGGTTGGAAGGGATCTTAATGCTTATCCAGTTCCAACCCTCTGCCACGGGCAGGGACGCCTCACACTAGACTGGGTTGCTCCAAGCCCTGTCCAGCCTGGCCTTGAACACTGACAGGGATGGAGCATTTACCACTTCTCTGGGCAACCTGTGCCTCAGCACCCTCACAGTAAAGAACTTCTGCCTTACGTCGAGCCTGAACTTCCCCTGTTTCAGTTTGAACCCATCACGCCTTGTCCTATCATACCAGTCCCTGATGAAGAGTCCCTCTCCAGCACCCTTGTAGCCTCCTTCGGATACTGGAATATACTGGAGATACTCTTGGGTGTGAAATGCTAGGTGAACTAGGTGGAATATTGTCTATATAGTTAAAATAACCTAACAAGAACGATTGTTTATTTCTTCGTGGCCCTCCTCTGGGCTTGCTCCAACAGCTCCATGTCCTTCTTATGTTGATGACACCAGAACTGCACACAATGCTGCAAGTGGGGTCTCACAAGAGCAGAGCAGAGGGGCAGGATCACCTCCCTCGACCTGCTGCTCACACTCCTTTTGATGCAGCCCAGCACATGGGGGGTTTCTGGGCTCAAGCACACACTGAAGTGGCTCATGTTCAGTTTCCCATCAACCACCACCCCCAAGTCCTTCTCCTCAGGGCTGCTCTGAATCTCTTCTCCACCCAACCTGTAGCTGTGCCTGGGATTGCATAAGGTCTTTTTAAACAGAAGAATCTTAAATGAGATTATTTTCCCCTGGAACCTTTAGCTATTCGGAATTGCCAGCTCCTCTATGAAGGCAGCCTGGCCCTTTTGATTCATGTTGCCTGGGTGGGTGTTAAGGTGACCACCCCTAATGACAGCGATGTAGCCCTGCAGGTCAGCAATGACACGGCCTGGTGCTGAGATGCCTTTTTAACTCTGGAAGCAAGCAGTCTCCTGAAGAATCCTGTGAACACAGACAGGGGAAGGCTGCTAGGACGAAATGATGTCTAATTTAAGGATGTTTTTAGAGGCACATTTATACCAAAAGGGAGAGAGAGGTGCAGAGCTCTATAAGTCCAGAATATTGGAGTATTTTACTACTGCAAGATGCTTAATCAGCATAATGCATGAATGAAAATGTGCTGCTTTATTTATGTTAGCTTTTTTCAATTTGTTATATAGTGTAATTTTGTATAGTGCTGGAGGCTAACTGAACTGGTGCTGGGATGCTGCCCCAAAGTGGCCCCACCAGAAGGCACACTCTGATACTGCATGCTCACAGCACAAACACTCTCTGCTGCAGGATCTGTTCTCCCCACACACCCCTCTCAGTTGTATGGTCCGAGGTGCTCTGTGAGCAGCAGAACAAATTGAGGCCATTTGCCTCTGGAGTGCTTTCCCATTCTCTAGTTGCCCCCCTTCCATCCACATGTAATATCCTACTGTAATATCCTCCTGTCCCGCATGGTCCCGACAACAAATGGCTCCATTATCTTGTCAGTGTGAAGATTAAATGTCTTACAATGTAAAAACTTACAGTCTTTCAGGTCACATCCTCTGTCTCAGATATGGCTGAAGAGGGGTTAAAAAAGTTCTTTGTGGGTGGCATCACAAAGAACTTTCTTCCTTAGAAAACCTGGCTGGCAAACAAATCTAGTTTAATCTTCCCTTCACAAAACGCAGGCAGGATGCAGAAGAGATTAAGAAGGCCATATATAGCAGCAGAAAGCTGAAAGCAACAGCAGGTGGCTGGAAAGCTGCAGGGAGGAGGGGAAAGCAAGAATGCCTGATCGGAAGCCACAGCAAGGACAAGTCTGCACAAATCCATTGGTGCTGGGTGGTTCAGCTCAGCTGCTTGTGATTCGAAGTGCTGCTGCCAACTGAAAGTAATACTGCTTGATCACCTCGAACACTGTGCTTCCTGTCACAAATGGGGAGGACAAGAGAGATCCACCCATCTCTTCTGTGTGTTTCTTTCTGTGATTCAGGTGTTACCAGCTCTCTGTATCCCATTTGTTTCCAGTTTGCTGTTCTCAGGGTCAAGCCAAGCACCTGTTGTTTGTGCCCGTTCCATTACTCAGTGAGTGACACAGTGTTTAGTCTGCCAGATGTGTAGTTTTGCTGCCTTCTTCCTTCACCTCTCCTGGGTCACAGAGCAGTCGCTTAAGCCCTTCTGCTGGAGCTTGGATTTGACATGTGACAACAGCTTACAGAAACATGCTTTGTAGTCCAGCATGGACATGAAGAGACTTGGGCTTATGTAAAATGAGGTCTCCTGATTTTCAGCTTAGTTCATTCCCTTAAGCTCAACACCATGCTGAAGAGCAAAACCTACCAGCAAGTTTAAAAGAGAGTGTATTAAGAAGGTGCGTGAAGGGAGATGTTAGCGAAGGTGTTTCTCCAAAGAGCAAGTACCCCCAGAAATGCCTTGTAGAAACTCTATGGGAGATCCCTGGGCAGAAGTGCTTCCCGTCCATCCGGAGCAGTGTCCCCAGGCAGGGGATCAGTGTTGTCGTCCTGCAGCCACTGTCACATTGCCCCATGCGGTCGAAAGAGCCTTGGGCTGGGGCAATTTGCTTGTGTGCCCGCCAGGCCCAGCACAGGCAGAGCTCCGCTGGCTCCTCCTGCTCCAAAGG